ATCCTCACATTTAAAAAAAAAATCATTTTCAAGATTTATGTTTTGCTTTTGAGTTTGATCACATTGTTGAGCAATTTTCTCCTTCGCTGGGAGTCAATATGACATGTAACACTCTAAGCTGCTCCCAGAAATGAAAACGGCAGCTGAAATGTTGCTCTTTACAAGACAGGACATGGCTTCACGTAAAACTTAGAGTTCACTATTTAACATCTTAACCTGGAGTGTTAATAAATGTGTTGGAGGTGAATTATTCATACCACTGGCATATTGATTGATTATTTTTAAATATGCATGTACATAATTAAATAGTGAAGTTTGTTTCTGGAGGGAAATGAGACAGACAACTCTCAGAAGATTACAAATCAATATAAAAGGAGTTCTCAGCTTTTAAGTGTTTTAGTTTATGACTTGATAAATACGGCAGACTCAAAGGCCACCAGTTGATGATGACCTTTGAGGTTAGAAGGCCTCTGTCCATCACCCTCATCTTTAGCTCCCTCCACTGAAACTGGAATCAAATTACAAAGTATAATTCTATCTGTATAAAATAATACTATCCACAAATTGACTGAAAGGAGTTTAAAAGTGTTCATAAACATGTGGAACTTGAGTCACTTCACCAGAAACAGTTAACTGAGATCATTAAACATGTCAAATATGGCAGCTAGACGTACTGAAGACAACTTGCTGAGGTTCAAATTCAATCCGAAGGAGGAATAAAGACTATTTAAGTGACTGTGAATGGTTGTCTCCTATGCTCCGGCGCTCGCCTACCAAATCAAGACCACACTTGTGCAATAACAAGATAATTTTCTATTTGGACAAAAAAGAAATTCCTAAAGCAATTACATAGGAAGTAGGAGGCTGAAAGAATGACCTAATAACCTGCCCACACACATCAGAATGTCCTTAGAAGGATTTTTTTCTTTTGCATCTAAAGCTGCAGTGTGAGAATGTGTGTGTGTGTGTGTGTGTGTGTGTGTGTGTGTGTGTGTGTGTGTGTGTGTGTGTGTGTGTGTGTGTGTGTGTGTGTGTGTGTGTGTGTGTGTGTGTGTGTGTGTGTGGGGGGGTGTGTGTGTGTGTGTGTGTGTGTGTGCATGACTCAAGCTGAGTCTCTACGCGTTCATCAAAGTCCTAGATGCCTGCGCAGTTGCACCCAGACGTCTGTATTACTCACAGTCTATTCCTTTTGTCCAGCAGAGTCCTCACCCTCCCCTCTTGCTCCTAAAATCCGTCTTCCCTCCCCCTCTTTGTGTCTTTGTGGCTCTAATTATCATGTTCTTTTCTCATGAGTGGATCTCAACAGCAGGAGATCCAAAGTCGAACTTCATTTTCAGATGAGTGGGGGTAAAGTTGTGGGTTTTGATCTGGTAATCTTGAATTTTGACTTCTTTTTGGTCAGCTTCTTTTTGACTATTTCCCCCCCTCCATGTCAGTGCCACCTACAGACTTAATGAGTTCATGGGCCCCTTTTGAGGTGCTGCTTGACCACAGCACTGTAAACCGCAGTGAATGGGCCTGAATGACGCTGAATTGCTGGACAGGAAGGCGAAGGACAACAGGACGGAGGAACTGAGGGGAGAAAAAAAGGAGGTCGGACAGCAAAGAGAGGAAGTGCCAGAGATACGGGAAGGTTGGGTGAAGTACAGTGAGGTGAAATAGATGTTAAATTTGAGAAGGAAAGCAAGAGCTGGTTCCCATACTTTTCACCCAATTTTATGTTTTGGTTTTGCCCTACAAAACCCAGCAAGTTCAATAAAGTGCAGCCGTCTCCAAGTTGTCCCCCCCGTACCCCTCGCCTCCTCCTCGTTGCCCCCTCTGCCCTCATGCCGCCCCTCACTCGGCGCTCATTCTTTTATTCTTTCCTCCTCGACCCGAGTCAACGATTGTTGCGTGCTTTTCTCTTTTCCTCTGCTACAATTGTGTCAGCAGTCTGCTCAGTGCATGTGGGCATCAGACTAAAAGGCATGGATACAGTATATGCATGTGGATGCATGACCCCTTGGTGATGTCATTAATGAGGAAATACCAGAGTTGAAGGCTCGGACTGACTGGAAGTCAGCCTCTGGTCATTGTTGCTCGATGTCGACCTAAAAGTATCACTTGACAGTTTGCTTTTGGAGTTCTGAGTTGCATTTAGTCCTTTCTCCCTCCTTGTGTTGCACTTTTGCACCTCGAGGCTGAAAACGAAAAAACAGCATTAAGTTTAAGTGATCCTGTGATTTCTACATGGTCTTATGACTTCGCCAAAGACCTCTTTGTGAAACTGAAATCCTAACAGATAATTTACAGCGTCTAGTGAGAAATTTTAGGCATATGGACAGAACTGAGGTCAGCAACTTTGACACAATAAAGCCATTTTACCCTCGATCCACCACGTTTCTACATGTCCCTTAACTTTCATACATATTTACAGGTATTTGTATATGTTAGTTGGAGAACCACCATTTTATATGCATTCTTGGGAATTGAATCAGGAAAAATATCTGACTTCTACAAAGAGGATGCTCTTTAATAGAACGGTTAAAAAGCATGAAGTTTATGACAAACTCACATAAAAACGCCTTCAAGGAACATTTTATTTCTCTCTGCATGGATGACAACACTTTTATAATAATAAATTTGTGTTTATTTCTTCAGACTATACCTCAGGTTATGCTGTAAAACATAAAACCAATAAGTAATCCTTTTACTTCCATCTGTTCTTGGTACAATTTAATTTACAACACCACAAAAACTTACAACACCAAAAAAAGAAATGAAATTCCTAATATTTGTCAAGACAGCAAGTTCAATGTTTGGACCTCATTTTGTTTCCTATAAAGGTGTAATGAATTTTAACATGCAAAAATTGTCAAATATGCACGTTTCTATGTTTTCCCTATTCTCCAAATGTCTCTCCTGCCACCTAGCGGTGATAAAAAGGTGGTGCCCCGTTTCCAGTGTCAGACGTGAACTTTTTGACCCCAAGTGTAGGAGATGCCCGGGCATGTAAGGCTGCATTCACCCACTTTGACTATTAAAACTTTTGTTCTTTGGATTTAATGCTGCGTGGTGAACTCAAGCTGTGCGTGACTTGATGCCCACTCAAATACCTGCAGGGACAGGTGAAGTCAGAACACCTGAAAGGTCGCTCAGGAGAAAATGTTTGTGTCTCCAAGAGAACCACCTGTACAGAGAATCCATTCAAACATTAAATGATTCCCTTAATGGTAGAAGATTGGTTTTCATGGTATTTTTAGAGTGGGAAAGCTAATTATCATAGGACTTGAATTATTTCCTTTATGTTTAAGATGTTAAGTAAAACAGTCTCATCTTCCTATGATTTTTCTGAAGGCCATAAGAAATCCCTCATTAGTTTGAAGGGAGGAAATGTGCATTGGAAATACAAATATTTCAGGTGAAGAAGTATATCATTTAGAGTCTGTAATTACGAGAAAGGGCTGCTTCTTGGATTTACGCATCCATTTATAGACGACTAACATTTGAACAATTATTGTAATTGGTTTCTAAATTACATCCCACAAGTTTAAATTTACAATCGCTGAGTAGCTCTCCACATCAGTCGAGTCACAGCGACACCAAGTGGTGACATGCTGAAAAAACGTTTTACACCAAATATTTCCCAAACTAAAAAATGACAAAACGTTGGGGGTTTTTTGGGGTTGAAAATGGGCGCCGTAGTGTCTGTAGTTAATTTTCCGATAGAAATTAAATGTTTTTACTTAAATAAGCAAGTCTTTCTAGCATTGAAAGACTGGCATGAACAGGTGCTGAACAAATGTATTTCCCCTTATGAACTCTAATGTCCAACTTTATTTCCAAAAACAATCAAATCAGCTTTCTTTCTTGTTATTTTGGTCTCTTCTCTACCCTAAATCATGTATACAGAAATAGAAACTTTCTTACTGGCTTCAGTCAAAAAAATTTTACCAGACGCAGAACACATCACCTGACGATGGATGGACATTTTCTTACTATTTAGTCGCGTTTGAACCTTTGAGTGTGCCACTTTCAGGATACTGTATCCAAGAATAAGTATGATTAATCACCATCCTTAACTTTCCAAGCTTGAAATATAAAAATGCTCGATATCCTAAAAATGTCCAAAGAAAATATTTTATTTCGTCAAACATCTCAGATTTGCAAGACTTTTTAAAAGAAGTCATTTTATTTCAAACGTAGTTTAGAAATGGTAACTATAAACTGGTTGTGCTTCAGTGGAAGGATAATTCATCATCATAATAAGTACATAACACTTTGGTTTTACAAATAAATGTATTATGGTGTTTTTTTTCCAAGTAAAATTTGCTCATCTGATTGATCTGCATTGTATTAAGATGTTGAAATTTTTAGATTAATCACATCATGTGTTAATGCGACAGCCCTAAAGTACACCCACAGGTGTGTCTCCATTTAACTAAATGTTGTGAGTCAGAGGCTTATAAAGCTGGGTTTAAAAGTAAATTTGACCTTAGTCAATGCAAATGTCTGTTTTTTTTTTTTTGTTGATTTTTTATTTTTAGGAAGAAACGACTTTCTTCATTCTACATCCAAAAATGAGTTATTTTTTTATACGCTTTGAAATCACAGTGTAGGTTTCCCTGATTGCCTTTCTCTCAGAGATAAGCTATTAGTTAGAGCAGAAGTGTTTGTGTTTCATTTACAAAGAAATTTGAAGAACTGACAAAAAACCAGAACAAGAATCAATACGCCATGTTTTTCCAGTTCCAAAACAGAAAATTGGAAACTGACCCTGTCATGACCAGTTGCACATTACTTTTAGTTCAAGCATGATATTTTAAATATCTGTGAAACATAAGTTTTCATGTCTTGGAAATTTACCTCATATATTTTTTATGTTGCTTTGAATATCCAAAACATTTGGACAATAAAACATATTTCTTAATTTTTTTGTCCACAAAACTCCAGTCAGGTTGTTTCCCGATTATTTCTTAGTTTCAATATAAGTTCATAGCTTAAATAAATATTTCAAAGAGTCAAGAAAACACTTTTAATAAACAGTCTGTATCCATTTTTAAAATTCCCCAAGGTCATTCCAATTTAAATCCATTTTGTACCAAAACTATCTATTTTAACTCAAAAAGAAGAACATAGGACAAATTAGATTGTGCAACACTTAAAGGCGACTGACTGAAAACACATGCAAACACAGCCTACAGTCTCAAATGAAATGTTAAAATTAAATAAAATTTAAATGCTCTGAAAATACATTTGACTGACATGATTCTGATATATTTTAAAATCCTGATATCGGTATATTAAACAGGTTTTACACGCTGAAATTTCTTGTTTCTTTTGCTTAAAAAAAATTAACAAAAAAACAAGAAATTTTGGGCCCGCAAAAATCTGCTTTTCATTATTGAAATGACTGATATAACTTGAACATTATGGCGATACATGATTATAGAAAAACATGGTCAAAACTAGACTGAAAACATGCAAATACCCGAGGACACTCTCGATAAAATTCAAAGAAATATATTTGGCTTTTGCGATTATGATGCAACACCGCTTTAAAATAAAAAAAACACAACTGAAAGTTAAATTATCCTTCGATGAAAATCTCAGTCTTATCTAGTTCCTTAAAATGTCCTTCGAAAAAGTCAGAATACGTAGAAAATAAGTATAAAAGCAAACCACCAGAGGGGTGTCACTTTGAAGGAGGGAGCCTGGCCTCTGGCCTGAGGGTCCTGGCAGTCTCTGGCGTTGTTACTGGGCTTTTTATTCTGGGAGTTTCCCTCAAAGTGGACCGGGACGCACTGGTTCTCCAACACCTCGCAGGCCAGGATCAGATGTTTGTTTTCCTGCGTGATGCTCTTGATGCCACAGGTTCCCTGGATGCTCCTCACCGTCACAAAACTGAATGGCTGCTTGCTGATGCACAGGTTGTCGTTCAGAACCTTCCCCCCTCTGCTGGAGCACACAGACTTCACCTTCTCCAGCTCGTCTGGGTGGAGGAACGACTGCGTGGGTCTGTCACAGCCTCCCAGAGTCTTGATGAACTTCTCCCACTCATTCTGGTCCAGAGAGGTCGGAGTCCCTTTGGGGAGATGGCGCTTGATGAAGGTTTGGGCGGCATTGTTCCACTTCCCGGGCAGACATGGAGCATCGTTCCTGGCAGATGTTGGCTGAGTGGAAAGGAGACCCGTAGCAATACAGAGATACAATATGTAGGCCGCCATTCCTGCAGGGAAGAACTCAGTTATGAGTTTAGTAAAAACGTGGGGAAAAAATCAAGTAGCTTAAAGTGTTTTTGTCTTCTTTTTTTTTTTGCTAAAAAACAATTCATAGACTACTTGAATGACACGTAATAAAAAGTGGGGAGAGTCTCGCAAAGCGGAAGTTGTGCTTTTCTACTCCCTTTTTTTAAACACGAAAGCAAAAGGCGGATGTAGGGAACAGCTGGGAGAACTTTCCTACCTGCTTCTGGCCTCAGAAAAATGCCCTCTAGTCAAAAAAATCTCAATCTGCAGATGTTGGAAGCCTCAGTTGCGCTTCCTCCTTTCACTTCCCGTGTGAAGCAGGAGGGGCCTGTGCACCACACGCCGCTGACCACACGGGGCGCTGTTGGAGCAGAAATCCAAGCTTTGCGACTGGATGTTGGTCTTCTTTTCTGTTATGGTGGATCGCAAGCAACTTTAAGGTGCATACCGTCACCTTCTGTGCATGAGTGTAGTAACATTACTTTACATCTATTAAATTCTTTTTTTTATTATTATTTTGTATCCTGAAGATAAATAATGATTTCCTTAATCTGTAAATATCCAATTCATTTCCCAATATTCATCATGTCAGACTCCATTCCTGCTCTTTGACTGGATGTTTATCTATTCATCTCGTTTGAATTTAATGTGCGTTTAATACTACTTCTTGCTGCAATTTTAGAAAACATATTTAGTATTTTCTATTCCCAGAACAATAAAGAGATATAACTCTTGCACCTTCAGGCATCTGAGAATTGTATCCAACGATTTGAGGCCTTTTCATAAGAAGCCCAGGCAAAGCATCTTGAATAAAGATGAGAAGTCCTATCACCTTCTGCTTAGCTTAGTATTGGAAAACTTGTGAATGTATCCATAAATCTTCTTTGAGGTCTTTCTCTTTTTCTTCGACAGTTCCATCACCTTCCACTATCATCCCTCTGTACCTACATTTTTCTCCAAACTCCTCCATCTCATAGTTCTGATATTTACAGGGAAGAATTCAAAACATGTTCAGCATTCAAGTGTTTTAATGCAGTGCTCAGGCAGACAAGTTAGATGTAACAATAAACATATATGTTCAGATGATATGCAGCTTTTATATTTCTCTCTTCAACAGAGTAAAGGTATCCACATAAATATAACTTCCATTTACAACAAAACGTGCACCATTAAAATCCGATCTGAAATATTTGTACAGTGTCTGTATATACATGTCACCTGTCATGTTTTTACATCAGTCTGTTTTATCATTTATCTTTAAATTTCCTCAGAAGAGTTTAGCTGCAAAACGCTTACACATTAGTGCAGAGTGCTTCAAATGACGTGACATAAATGACATTAAAACTAAGAAAAAGAAAGAAATATATCTCCTGTGCATCCCTCATCTCAAGAAGGAAATACACCAGAATATTAAACCAGCACCAGTTGCTTTAATTGGTTTTGAGTTGAATATAGTCTCAAAACATGACTAAAAACTCAGCCAAATTTAAGTGGAAATGACTTTATCACACAATCAAGAGAGAACGTCTTATTCTTATTTTTCTCTTTTTGTGATTGATTCAGGAAACATATGGCTGCTTTTCTCTAGGACACTGATCCATAAAATCATCTCTGATGAGAAAAGAAACAGAACCCCCTGAAGTGAGATGTAAGGCTACGGCTCGGTCTGAGGCGAGGGTGACGACTCTTCTTTCCTTTCAGCTTTTGAGGTTATCGTTAGAGCCAGGTCTGATTTTATCTCCTGTGATTTCTCTGTCTCCTTTGTTCTGAAACAGTTCAAAAATAAAGAACAAGTTATTCAAGTTATCCCACTTACAGAAAACTTGTTTGAGGATTTTTTTTTATTTCATTTGTTAGTGTAGTTCTTATGTTGTCCATAAGAGGTCCATATTTACAGGAGGGGGAAACTGAGAGGGAAAATTAGTAGTAAGGCTGATATAAGTGGCTTTACAGAACAAGGGATGTCTTAACATAAATATACACCCAGTGATTGTGGTTTAAATTTTTTTTTAAATAGTGCAACTAGAACTGTTTATAAATAATATACTTTATTAGCATTGATGTATAATGCGAAGTAATCACTGGCTATGTTTCTATGTACGAGTGGATCGGTTTAAATAAATTGGTTGTTTTGCACGTTTTATAAATCACATCCTTAAATCAAAATAAATCCCATCTATCCGAGTCATTTTTGCAACAGATTTAGGGTGGAAAAATTGGGCTGTCAGTCGTTAGGACTGACAGATAAACATCAGTGTTGTATTTGTTTTGGAAATGCTGTAATGACTCCATCTATTGCCTATACCCGCTTATTTTAGATTGAAAAAGAAGTACGACTTTAACAGAATACTAAAAGTTTAGTTTATAATCAAATTAACATCAAATTAAAAATGTTACATCTGGGAGTTTTAAACTGCTGCATTTGTGTGGCTACCTGCTAGGAGTGCCACAGTGCTAATGCTATATAGCCTATATATATATATATATATATATATATATATATATATATATATATATATATATATATATATATATATATATATATATATATATAGCTAATATATATATTTGTGTATATATATAATATATATATATATATATATATATATATATATATATACACAAACGGAGGTTAGTTTGTGTGTGGAATATCTTTAAGACAACATTAGGAGGTGTTTTGCTCTAAACGGTGAGGTTAAGCAACTGAATAGGTGTTTACAACAAAGAGAGGTGCTCAGGACATAAGGTCATAGGTCACAAATCCTGAGAAATAACCTTGGCATTGGAGCAGGCCGGTTATTGTGCAGGACATCCCAGCTAGAAGTAGAGCTGTCGCAAGATCAAAAGACAGAATCACAAGAAAAAAAAAACGAAGAAAAAATCTCAAAGAGACTGTGTTCACTCCTGCTCTCATTACTCCTAAGGACAGGAGATTATGTTTTAAAACAAGTGCACACAGCTGACTGAGGTTATGAAAGTCAGCAGTCCTTTAAGCATGATGCCAGACCTTCCCTAAGGGCTCTTGATGGCAATGCAACCATAAAACTAAAATGGTTTTGCATATTAAAGAATTGGCAGAGTGAAAGCAGCGAGTTATAACAACAAATATTACAACAGCAAAAATGTGGAACAATAAAAAATCAAAGATAAGTGTTTGAGAAGTTTTTATGTTTCACATCAGCACACTGATCAGCTACAGCATTAAAATCACAAAGGCAAAGGCCGACGGAGTAACATGTGGGTGACACGTTCCATAAATAAAGGCACTCTGGCTCAAACTCTTAAAGATCTAAAGTAGCAACAATAAGAGAAAAACATTGAAGTTTAGAAATGCAATGCATTTGTCTGCGGTTTAATGTAACAACAAGAACTTTTATGGCAACTGGGCTGATTGATAGAGGCGTTTGTACCTGAAGTGTAACTAGAGTCCAGGCCAATGGAGGGTCTCACTTTGATCCGATTCAAGTTAATATGACTTTATTTTATAAAATGTTCTGTCTACATTCAGTTTCCCCATTAATCCCCTGATTGTGATGGCCTCTGAACTCAGAAAACTGGCTCAGGGCACCAACACTTCAAAGTGCTAGTCTGGCCTTTAATTCATGTATTTGCAATCAACAATACATTTTGGTTTGATAATAAAAGTACAATCCTACTTCACACCTCACTGAACATCTTTTCTCTTTTGCCGTGGAACCAAACTACTTCATGTAAAAAGCCTGGCTTTGATGAAGCTGATCATTGCCTGAAAACTGCTGGTCAAAGCAACGGAAAGGCTCTAAATGAGCACTGGGTTACAGAAGAGACCTTATATCTAGTGTGTGTAAACAAAGCAAGAACAGAGGAGTCAGAAACATGCATGTTGTAAAGATGATGTTAGGAGAGCAGATTATCCCCACACTGATGTTAAAATTGCTTTCAGATTTTCACAGAGAAACAAAGACGATTAAAGACATATATGAGTTTCTTTAACAGACCTGGCGACACTTCATATGGAAGTGTTTCGTGTAAAGGTTTTCCTTAAGAGATTGGGGCCTGTTCGGCTGGCTGCGTCATTCGGCTGGCTGCGTCATTTTCTATTTCAAATGTTATATGAAGTATTCAGGTCTCCAAGTCAGGTTGACATGTTGAGATTAAAGTATCAGGATTAAACTAACCCAACACGGTGGCAAAGACTTGTGACAGCCTTGCGTTGTTTAAATGAGCTTCTAACTTTATACTTTAGAATAGGATTAAAGAACAAAGACTTTCTTTCTCTTAACATATAAACAACCTTTATGCATTATGTTGGCTGGGAAAACAGCAGCGCAAGACACTGCCTTTTCTTCAAGATATTATTTACACTTTAATATAACAAACTGTTTTTAAAACTGTAATTCCCTTTCTTATATTTATATCATAAACACCTTTATTGAATGCAGATGGAAACCAAAGACACTTTCTTTTTTGTGTGGACCAAGTTGTTGAATAAAACTGCTTGTAATTTTGCCTTTTTTTTCTCTAAATTTTAACTTCATTTGGTAATGGAAAAGAAAAAAGGCAAAAACGTTTTTCCCCCTACTGTGTGGCCATGCAATAACCCTACATAAATTAAAAATACACATTGTAGGTTTTTTATATTGGTATATAACTATCAGCAAAATATTTCATGAATGAAAACACACACACATATATATATATATAATTTTTTTTCAAATGAAAAATTGGGTTTTTCTACAGAAATAGTTTTCTCCACTTCTATTTCATGGATAATTGATGATAATTTATCCTTGAGCTATGTTTAAGGATGTCTGCATTCAACAAGTAAACAACTAAAGTATCAGTGGTGTCAGTGTTATAATCAGGTAAACCACCTGTTTACCACGACCGTTTCAAGATGAAGGAGTTTAAAAAATCTGTCAAGAGAAAGAGACAGAGTGAATATACAAGCTCAACTCCTGCACACAGTGTCACATCAAATCAACAACACACAGGCTGCCAGCATCAACAGCTTTCTGAAGGACCGGATTGGAAAACAAGCTAGTAGAAGAAGTAAAATGAGCAGGACAGTTTACCGTATTGTCTTCACGATGAAGCGAATGATCACCGCCACACCCACGCAGCCACACATCACTCCTATCACGATGGCTGTGACCTCACCTGCAGAGGCAACGCAACGGAATCGTCAAAAGCTCTAAGCTGCTTCTTTATCTTTTTGCAAACGTGCACGATAATAACTTGTCATCTTACCAGATGAGAGCTCCCTCCCCGATTCTAAAAAACAAGCATCTCATTAGAACATGAATGCATATTTAGGGTTAAACTTCATGATGGCTGAACGTTTCATTTAT